CCCCCCCCCCCCCCCCCCCCGGTGAGCAAGTCCCTGACTTCATGGTCCCTACATTTTTATTAAATAGATTGACCAGCCATTTTTTTTTTCAAATATCATCAGAGAAGAGAAATTTTACTTACTGAAATGAGCATTTAATGCTGGATATACAATAGTACAAGCTCCTAAACTCAGAACAGAGGTTATGTCCCTCCATGTGGCTCTACTCTTCCCTTTTATTCCAAAATTCATGGGCATTTCCAAGGGCATCCTTTGAAATTTATATATGTGTGTGTGTGTGTGTGTGTGTGTGTGTATATATACACACATATATATATATACACACACACATAAAATGAATGTATACATATGCACATTTTCTTCAAACTTGAACTGTACATTAAACTATGGCAAAAATTAGAAACCATACGTAAATATTATTATGTATGAATATATAATATATATAATTCTTTAAGGTGAACTTTTATTAATTTTTTAGTGAAAATCCTGTTAATCCTTCATCATCACCCAATAACATTCAAACAGGAGTATAAAGCATTCAAATATGTTCTTTAAGACTCCTCTAAAACAATTCCTATTTACCCCACAGTCTCTGTCCTAATAAAAGAGAGCTCCTTCAGAACATAAGAGGTAACTTTTGTTTAGTCAAGGCCAAAAGAGGGTTGTCAACATTGTAATTAGGCAGTGGGGACTCAAAATTACCTACTTGTTTAAATCCTCCACGATTTATAAAATAAAAATGTGTTTAAGTATTGCCCTAGAAATGAATAGAAACTGTAGTGCTACTACTCCAGGAATATATATGTCATTAAGAGTATAAAGGATGCCCTGGACATTATAGATTAAATGTTAAAAAATTCCGGTATCTAATATTGTTTTATCAATAATACCAATATCATTGCAATTATTACCTGATTCATGAAAAACCTAAGGTAGAAGTTTATAAACTTGTTCAGGATCACAGTGAAAGAAAAATGCTAAGATTAAAACCCAGGTTTTCTTGTGTTTTACTCCTGGTACATAATACAAAATTTAAACCTTTGGTTAGATCATCATTTCATCTTGATCCATTACAAAATGTCATTTATGTCAACAAATAAAGATAAAACCACCTGATGGGTCTGAGAATCTATATTACATCAGAATGAAATATCTTCCAGTTAAAATAACATCCAACAACAACAACAAAAAAGTGTTATATTTAAATACCCCCAGAATTGTAGGTAAGGAGTAGACATCTCAGAGTCCAGCTGATCTTGGACTTGGAGAAAGCCAACTACTTTTGCCAGGAGAGCAAAACAGAATGATGTTTCTAATAATCTGAATTAGAGTTGAACATGAATCCAAATTATTTTTCCTTTGTTTCTGGTGATTAACCCAGTTTAGTGCCAGGATAGTCTTACCAAGCATCATAATTGCTTTTAAGACAGCAAACACGGCTCCCACTTCAATGCTATTGTGAGCGGCGGCTAAGAGGTGTCTATCACAAGATGATCTTATTCCAGGGAAAGGTTTGCCTATGAGAACAACAACAACAAACTTTTAATGGTCGCATCACCATCCTTAACAATCTTTTGTAACCATTTACAATCAGCAGAGCCTGTCATTGTTAGACTATAGGTACTTAATTGTCCTTAGCTAGCTATAATGGATGCTTCCTGGATTCACTACAAAACATTGTCACTATTCCTTTCTTAACCTTTGCTTTTTAATTATGAAAACAACGTCGTCGCTCCTTGGAGAGATGTATCAAAAAAAATATATTAGAACTTTCATCTATTTATACTGATTGTCGCACACACACACCCCTGTATAAAAATGATCTTCAGAAACACACTTCACTAACACCCCTCGAATTCTTACCTTATTCCTCTTACCTTAGTAAAAGAATAAATGACTCACCATTGCCCTAAGCTGCTATGATGTGGTTTACAGGTTTGAGGATCATGTTGACCACCAGCGTGGCTTGGCCTCAGAGCAAAAGTATTTTTATTGTTTATTAACTCGATTTTAGTTTCTCAATACATCCTGATATTGCATAAATCAAGGGTGCTGACAGCCCTCTCGATGGCAGTGGTGCATTCCTTCATCACCCCCCAAAAGCAAGGTCACCAAACTCAGGGAGGAAATAGCAGAATGGACAGCCCACGTGGACATTTTAGAATCTGTACCTCCAAATGAACATGCAGTTGGGGATTTTATAGCTGTCGGCTCACCGGTTGCTTGAGGTAACAAGCAGGCCTGGGGAGCTCGGAAGAGATGAAGCAGGAGTCGGCATGTCATTCTCGCCCCCGGCTCAGCATCTGCATCTCCACAAGCTAGGAAAGATTTTCAAAGCAAGTTTTCCAATTGATTGACTGACATGTCTTCAGGTTTTCTCTGAAGCTAACTTTTCTAGAATAACTTAAATATAAATGCTCCTTACGGTAAGAAGGAAGGCACTGGCTATGCTTTCCAGAGGAGGCAGACTGCTTCCTTAAAAATGACCGTTTCTATAGCGATCCATAGGACTTTGTACAGAACAACACTTATAATCCTACTAATTTTACATCAACTCCACACCACTGCCCAAGGCATGTAGCCTTAAAAAGTATGTTCACGGTGTTGTTGTAATAGCTGGAAACCATCCCAAGACAACAAATAACAAGAGCCCTTCCGGATGTGTCGTACCTGCTGCTAGGAGAGAGGGAAGTGCGACGTGCTGCACGACGTCCTCCAGGGAGAAACACTGTCGTGCTATCAGAATAGCAATGAAAGTAGCTAATGAATCATGGAATGAAAGGTCACTCACCTTCAAGAAAAACATTGACATGTTTTAATACCCAACGCCCTTTCAAGTAATATCTAAGATTAATATCTAAGAAAATGTAGGCAATACCAGTAAGATCACAAATCCCAAAATGAACCAACAGAGGGAAATGATTACACATCAGGATTATCATCCTCTAAGGCCTATTTTTACGTTATAAGACAAAGGATGAGGTTTACCTACATCACAATGCCACAAAAAGATATTGAGTTTCTCCTTGAGTACACATAACTGAACAAAACAAAAACAAAATCACGAAATTCCTAATCAGATGTAGTATAAGGAAAACTTTTTAGAAGAACACGGCATTAACATTTAAGGGTAAGATTGTGAGAGAGCAGGAAAAAAAACACGGAGATTCCCCTAATTGAAAAATAAGCCTCACTGATGTTTTAAGAGTTCTTTTCAGGGATAACTATTAGGGATTCTATAATATAATTAAATTAGTCTTAAAAAGCAACTCTGAAAATTTCCAACCGACTCCTAAATTTGAGAGAGAATGAAAAAAGAGAAGGAAAATAAATTCATTCAGAATGAATCCTCTACCTATAGAGACCTCATAAGACTTTGGCACAAAACAGTAAGAAATAAGCAGCAGCCCTCATGTTAAGTTGTACTATATGCCAATAATCATGTGTAGTGATTTACAAAGATGACCTCACTTAATAGCATATCACCATGAGGCTCATACTTTTAGTAATCCCAATGTTGCAGATGAGGGAACAAAGCAAAGGTAAGGTAAAGTATAACAGAAAACAACCAAGAGGTTAAAGAATTATGTTAACAATAAAAATTAGGATATTTTTGTCTGGAAAAGCAGGCCACAGATATGAGTTACATATATCCATGTGTGGTGTGTGTGTGTGTGTATCTTGGGTATCTACAGAATGGAGTAGAATAATCCATCTAGTCTTGAGATACCAGAACTAGGAATTAAGCCTCTAACTGGAAGGTGGGGTTTAAAATGCAAAGATACACC